CGTGGGGCTGGCAGGTGTGTGGAGAGACACCAGTGTGCCAGGGCTGGCACCAGGCTGTAAGAACACAATGGCCAGAGCCCTGTGCTGAGCCTCACCGGGGTCAGAGGAGCGCAGGATGATGTCTGGTTTCCACAGCAGCCAGGCAGGCAGGCCACCCTAGAGAAACACACACAGCAGAGAGGGAAGCAAAGAAACTGCTCAGCAGCCCAGGCTGACACACAGCTGAAACCAGCCAGCGCAGTGCTAATGCTCAGCACCAGTACAGCATGTGCCCCACAGGGCAGCAACTTTGGCTGGCATGACACTGGAGTCACTGTGGCAGCCAGAAAGGCCAACCCTGCTGAGCCCTTCCCAGACCACCTGTCACCCCTCTGTGCCATGCTGGGGCCAAGGGCTCACCATCTCCCACTCTGCACAGATGTAGGGCCCTGGCCGCAGGATCACCAGAAGTCCCAGCTCAGCTGTCAGGTCCAGGAAGGCTTCCACATCCCGGTTCCCAGCAAAGTCATAAACCCCTGGCAGCGTCTCATGGTAGTTCCAGGGGACATAGCTGGGGCAAGAGGGGAGATCAGCATGCAGGGGTTAAGGGTACTCCAGCAGAACAGGGAACCCTCCCACCAGCCGGTCCCTCTGCTTCTGGGAACTGGCCTCCAGCCTGAGCTGATTATGGCAACCAGGGTTGGACTGGCACTAGCCCAGGTTCATGCCTTTGTCTGGCAGGGGCGTCCTGGAACAACAGCCCAGTGCAAGTGTTGGACCTTTCTCCCTGTGGTCAGACAACACTTTTGTCTCTGTTCCTACTCCAGAGATCCCAGAAACCCCAAGTGGCTGTGGTGGCAGTGGGCTGTGCGCCGTTGGGGCTTACACCTGCACAGTGCTGAGCCCACTCATGTGCATCTTGAGCAGCCGGTCCCTCCAGGCAGGCCGCGGAACACGGGCGTAGTGGATGCTGCCTGAGATGTAGCGGAAAGGGACACCATCCTTAAGGAAGCAGTTGCGCTCATAATCCACCTGGAAGGAGCGTGGTGAGGGGGAGGCCTGCGGGAGAGTGGCAGTTTTGGGGGGGCAGAAGACTCTCTCCAAGCCAAACTGCCTCCTCCCATGCTCCCTGGGACAGGGACTGATGGGGGCTATTTCCGGGGGGGCTATCCCCCGAGGAGGGTACCACACTGCCCTGGGAGAGCAGAAGGGATAAGCAGAGCAACCATTCACACCCTCCCTGCTAATCAAACATCCGGCGGCTGAGCTAGTGGCATTTTGGGGGACGGGTGCTGCTGGGAGGGGTGCTGAAAGGACAGGCAGGGAGCTGGAAATGCAAGCGGGACATTGGGGCGGGACGTGGGCGGCAGCACGAGGAAGCCATAGCAGGAAGAGTAGGAACACGGAGAGGGAAGCAAGGCAGATTCCGGAGTCGTCCCACCGGATCTTTCATAGCTTAGCCCCACACGGTTCTCCCAAACTTTTCCACCCATGTTTGCTAACCTGCGTACTCAGGAGCCTCACTGCCAGCAGCAGGGCGAGGGCCGGCAGCCCCATCCTCGCCGGCTGTTCGGCAGGCCCGGGGCAGAGGACGAAGCTGGACGTGGACACCACCATCACATGATCCGAGAAGGATCTTAGCCAGCGCCGAGTGCTGCTTCCTCCAGATATTCAGTGCAAGCAGCTGGAACTGCAGCACGGCTGGGGCGGGACCATGGGACGGGGATGGGCGGCTCCGACTCTCCACGCCTGGCCAGCCGCACATCAGACCCTCCAAAGCCCATCCAGCAGGGGATGCTGGCGGCACACCACCAAGAAGGCTCCGGCCGCCGAGCACATCCCCGGTGCCCCCCGGGATAGTGGGTGACACACGTGGGGGGACAAGGAGCCTCATAAAAGTATCACCACCAAGCAGAACCCTTCCAGTGAGCTCAGCCCGCTCCTTCCATCAGAGAGGTGGTGATGGAAACCTCGGCTGTAGCTCTAGTAGGAGGGATGCTGCTGCTGGCTGAGGGAAAGGAAAACATCCCCGGACAGAGGGTCAGAGCTGGGGCTAGAGCTGATGACAGGTGTGTCGGGAGATGCCGCAGGGAAGGACGAGCTCCGCTGAGGTGGCTCCGTCATCTCTGTCCCCTGCAGCGCCGACCCGCTCGCCTGTGCGAGGGGTTTGGCTTACCGGGGCCAGCCCCGGGAGCGGCGGCACTGCGGGCTGCCGCCGCCGCCGCCACCGGGGGATGCCACCGCGCCGGGGGATGCCACCGCCACCGGGGGATGCCACCGCGCCAGGGGCACCGCGCGGGGCTGCCGGGCGCTGGGCGCTGCGGTCCCCGCTCGCACGGAGGAGGGAGCCCGGGATCCCCGCCGCAGCGGCGGCACCGAGCAGCGGGAGGCGGTGCCGCCCCGCCCGGTGGGTGACGCGGCGGGTGACGCCGGGGGTGACGCGCGGCGGCGGGCGATGACGCGGGCGGGCGATGGGGCAGACGCTGTGCGTCTGCTCCCGGGGCACCGTCAGCCTGGGGGGAGCGCGGTACCTCCTGCTCCACCGCCTGGCAGAGGGGTGCGCGGCCGGCTGGGGCGCGGGGGGCTCGGGCGTGGGGTCCCAGGGGTCTGCGAGGGATGCTCGGGCAAGGGGGGTCTACGGGCGGGGGGGCGATGTGCTAGGGCATGGGGGATGCTCGGGTATGGGGAGGCGCGCGGGCCTGGGGGCGCTTGTGCAGGGGGAGTGCTCGAGTATGGGGAGCGTGCTTGGGCAGGGGTGTGCTTGTGCATGGGGGATGATTTGGCATGGGAATGTTCAGGCGTGGGGGTGATGCTCAGGCATAAGGAGATGCTTAGATAAGGGGGGGTGCTTGTGCGTAGGGACATGCTTGGGCAGGGGGGTGATGCTCTGGCACAGGGGATGGTCGGGCAGGGTGGGGAGGTGCTTGAGCTCAGGTCACGTTGGGGCATGGGGGAAATACTTGGGCTTGGTGGGGGTTGATGCTTCAGCATAAGGGATACTTGTGCATGGTGGTGGATTCTCGTGCTGGGTGGCAGGGGTTGGTCATGCCAAGGAGTGGGTGCTCAGAGCCATGGGAGTGGGGATGATTGGGCCAGTGGGGTTTTTCATGCAGAGTGGGGACGCTTTGGCATGGCTGAGGGATTCCCTCTGGCCTCTCCTCTGAGTGTTGATAGTTTAGACTGGGCTCAAGGCCCTGACGTGGATGCCACAGTGCCCAGCCCACGCCATGCTTGACTCCTTGCAGGGGCTTCAGCTATGTGGACCTGGTGGAGGGGCTGCGGGATGGGCGCTTCTACGCCCTGAAGCGCATCCTGTGCCACGACAAGGAGGACCGCCAGGCCGCCCTGCACGAGGTGGAGATGCACGGCCTCTTCGACCACCCCAACATCCTGCGCCTGGTGGCCCACGCCATGGTGGAGAAGGGCGCCAAGCACGAGGCCTGGCTTCTCCTGCCCTATGTGAAGGTGAGAGGGGCTTTCCTGGCTGCCTCACCACCCCAGGAGCAGCAGTGGTGACCAGCTGCTTGTGTGTGCCAGGGCGGGACCCTCTGGAGAGAGGTGGAAGCACTGCGAGAGAAAGGGACCTTCATGCCAGAGCAGCGGATCCTCCTCATCCTCCATGGGATCTGCCGCGGGCTCCAAGCCATCCACAGCAAGGGCTATGCACACAGGTGAGGGGCTGGCAGTGCTGGCTGGGGGGGTTGGCAGGGGCCCCAGTGGGTGCTTGGTGATGTCAATCCCCACAGAGACCTCAAGCCCACCAATGTGCTGCTGGATGAGGATGACCAGCCTGTGCTGATGGATCTGGGTTCCATGAACCAAGCTCGCATCGAAGTCAACAGCTCTCGGGAGGCCATGGCTGTGCAGGTGGGTGGCCTGGGACATCACCCCACCAGCCTCTCCCTGCCCCAAGCCCTATATCCCCGCTCTTCCCTCTGCAGGACTGGGCTGCCCAGCGCTGCACCATCTCCTACCGTGCTCCTGAGCTCTTCACGGTGCCGAGCCAGTGCGTCATAGATGAGCGCACGGATATCTGGGTAAGGATCCAGCCTTCTGGCCCACCCTGTCCCACTGCCATGAAGCTGCCCTGACCCAACTGTGCTCTAGTCCCTAGGCTGTGTGCTGTACTGCATGATGTTTGGGGAGGGCCCCTTTGATGCTATTTTCCAGAAGGGTGACAGTGTGGCTCTGGCAGTGCAGAACCCCATCACGTTTCCCCCCACAACCAGGTGAGGGGCTGGGGAGGGTGACCCCACTCCTGGGTAGCCCCCTGTCCTGTGCTCCACATGGGTCTCCCCGTCACTGTCTTTCCTCCAGGTACTCAGCTGGTTTGCAGCACCTGCTCTCCTCTATGATGACAGTGAACCCCCAGGAGCGACCCAACATAGATGACATCCTCCGCCAGCTGGAGGGGCTGCAGCCAGCACTGGTGGGACAGGACACCACACAGATCTGAGCCCATCCCATTCCAGCGGTGATGCGCCCCGAGGCTGAGCCAGGAGAAAAGCAGCTGCCCTAATCCCTGCTCCCCTGCAGACCTATTGCAGAGGGAACTAATGCCCTGGGGGAGAGCTGCTGCTCTGTGCTGGAGGTGTGTTGGATTTGGAGTGTTCTGTGCCCTGGATGCTGCTACCTGGGCCTTGGTCTGTGCCTCAGAGCTGTGGATGTGTGATCTGCTGCTAAACATGGGGCCCTCACTGGCTGCTGCTTCCCCCGGGGGTGACAGAAGAGGATGTTGTAGGACCCCCCAGGGGGCAGGAGCCACGGTACCGCAGCTCCGTGTCCCAGGAAGGTCACTCCTGCCCAGGGCAGAACTGCAGGCTGGGTCCCGGTGCTGTGCTGGAGGGAGGCAGAGGGCCTCAGTGCCCACTCTGCCACTGCTCTTGGCACCAACGTTGCCTTGTGTTTGAAGTAAAATACGTTCTTGCGGATGTGTGGCTGTGTCCCTGTCTGTGGGGAGGGATCCTGCCGGGTCATGAGGAGAGCAGGGCACACTGTCTGGGTTAAGCAGCCAAGCGTTACTAGAGGGGAAGGGCAGCAGAGGCCAGCTGGGGAGGCACAGACAGAGCATTAGCAGTAAGCAGGGAAAGTTAATCCCTGGCCCCAGAACCATCCTGACAGGAGCTAACACAACTCCACAGCTGGAGCCAGGCACTGCTGTTCAGAGCCTCTGGGGCTGGGCTCAGCGCAGGCAGAAGGGTGGTGGCAGGGGTACAGGCCAGACTTCTCTGCTGCCTAGGGAGAGGGAGGTGGGTACCCAGACTGGGAAGCTGCCAGACCTTGAGAGGCAGGAGCAGGAGCTCTGCTCTAGTGGGAGTGAGCAGAGCCTGGGGACAACACAACCATCCCAGTGCTGGGGAAACTCCCAGTCCAGCAGGCAGCCTTGGCTGGAGGGGCTCGCTGGGACACACAGCAGCTGGGCTGTCCACAGAGGGGTGCTAAAAAAAAAAAGATGCAGACAAGCAGTTTCACAGGGAGCATTCCCCTCCTTTAATCCTCTCACCACACACAGCAGTACAGCAGCCGCGGGGGTTTGTGCCATGCCGGGTGCCCTTGTGGGGTGCACCCACTGCACCAGAGAGCCGTGCATACCCTTTGCCCTGCATTCTGGCCACAGGGGCAGGGGTGCCAGACTGCTCCCACTGCTTCAACCACTATCCTTCCAGATGAGCCTGCCCATCCTCACACTGTACATGGGGAGAAGACCCCGCAGCTGCCAATCTTTTCCTGCTCAGACTAAATCTGCTCCCCCAAGCTCCAGGGTAGAACGTGGGGCCATAGATCACGAGGAAGTCGTATTCACCACTGGCTGGAGCAGTGAAGGGGGTGGGATGTGAGCCACAGGCCCAGGGACGGGACCCCAGGGCTATTACCTACATGGGAAGCAAGCCGGAGCTGGAGCAGAGCACTGGGAGGAAGCATAGCAGCACCAGTACCAG